TAAATAAAAATCACTTTGTTAATATAAATTAAATTCATTTATCCAATTGATCATTATTATTAATGAGAAATAAATTGTTTTGTTAAATACATAATAAAAAATGATTATGTTATACAAATATCTTGAATAATTGTTTTATAGAAAATAGAAACTATAACATTGATTAACATGATTAAAATATTATTGTATATAAAATACTTTTTTCTTCAAAACAACTTTTATTAAAATATTAGTAAAATTTTTTCCATAAAAAAACATTTTGCTAATCATCGAATTATAACTCAAAATTGTATTGATTATATAATAAAGATTTTTCTTTTTCTATATTTTCAATGTTATTTCCAAATAAATATAGAAGATAAAATAAACCCATGTGATGAAAACCGGAAGAAAATCGGCGGTTTACTGCAGTTTTACCGGTCCGGTTACCGGCCCCCATTACCGCAATTTACATGGTATACCGAGATTTACCGCTAAAAATGATCCGGTATTTTCGATATGGGAATGCCTTCGATCTATTCTTACAAAACTATTTTCTTAGACGATCCCAAAACAGAGAATAATGAACATCATCGCCATATTTAGAATTCTAAGAATCATGAGAGTGGAGGCAGATATGAAGTGAAATCGATCATGTGAACTTCGTGAAGAAGTGGCATGACACCTTTCTTTGGTTAAAACTATGTTTTATAGATGACAACTATATTGATTAATGAAAAAAAAAATTTTTTATTCTGTCAGTGCATATCTGACAATTGATTTCATTTTTGGAAATTTATTTTTAGTTAAGGAAACTCGTGTAGTTTCCTGGTAGCTCATGTGACGCATCATATATATTTTCATAAGAAAATTCTGTTGATACAGGGATGGGCATGGTTCGTGGCTATTCGAGGGGCGTTTCGCTTCCCAGAGCGTGATGTTGAAATAAACGGTGAACTATGCAGCTGAAGATTTTTTCCTAGTCCGCCCAATGCTCGATTTTTAGGCATAAATATAATCAAAAGAGCACAGATTGAACTGGAGATTGAACAAAAGACATCTACGTTCCATACTAACTGATGGACTACCTGCATCGTAATTGAAATTCAAATCAAGTCTTATATCTGACCTTTTTGACTTCACTCACAGCATATACCTTGAAGGAGTTATAATTTATAATTGTGCTAAAATTTATCTTTGGTTTTAGCTGTGACTTTGAATACAGTTCGCTGCTGGCTCGAGCTGTATTTCTATTTATTTTCGAAATGACTATTGCAACCAGAAGTTCATTTATATGCAAATTGGAATTAGGTAATTCATGAATTTAAGATATGCAATGACAGATTTAGGAGGGTGCTTGCGGTGGTCCCAATACCGAAAAAAATCGCTATTTTCTAGAAGAAAAAGCTTGAAAATGACCTCTTGGTATCCATATCTGTTGAATCGCCTTGTGTGAAAAATCTCAGATCTGTCACTCAGTATGTTGGTTTATTATTGAAATATGTTAATGCTTTTGCTGAAATAAAAATATATAACCAGTCTATTTTTGATATTGTTTCTTAGAATGGGAAAAGACGCAAAAAGAGAATCCTATAAATACTTTTATTGCTGTTTGCGACATCTTATAATTGATCTTAATTACATAAGTTTTACTAAATCTTCAATTTCGAGCCTTTTTAAATCTAATATAAACCTTTCTAAGAAGTGACTCTTGATCTCTTTGATTTTCTTCTGGTTGACTTTTTATTGTACATCAATTGTTATAACTTGTTTTTGAACGACTATCGGCAATGCATTTACAATTTCGTCGAAGTCGAATGCGATATTCATCGTCAGTTTTTTAGCGACTCTCTTTGTGATGCATCGACTATTCTTGTTATCCAACGACGTTCTCTTCGCTCAATCGTTTCATATATTCTTGTGTTTTTCTTTCTCGATCAAGACATAGTCATTTGTGCTTTTATTCGATTGTTTCATTTCGTTCCGTTGGTCTAGAAGATCCTTGCTATTTAATCCGAATATTTGAGATGTCAAGCTTCTCTTCACTATTCGTCAGAGAGTTGTCACAATGTTCAAGAGCAATATATTCTTGTTTTCCCGCCTGGTAGACACATACACAAATTTAATTTAAAATATTTCAAAAACATATAATTTTTTTCGTAAGACCCTTTATTTCCATCATAAAAGGGAATAATAGAAGTCATTTCGTTGAGTGATATTAATTAAAGTTAAACTACTTATTTTATACTCATCAATAGTTGAAGACATCAATTCAAATTGATCAGTTATATTCTATGTTTAATGAACTAAATTTTTGTAAATATGCTTTTCTACTGTATATACGTAATATGACTGATTTTTTTGTATAAAATTAAATGCGAGATTTTTCTCTATAACAATCTAATATGAACAATTATTCATAAATGACCGAGCTCACTTTGAAAGTTCATTTCCGATAAAAATCGAAAAAATTGGCACGATGCCCTTTATCAAAATATTCACTGTTGACAAATAACTTGCAACAAACTGATCATTAGCATTTCATTTTGTAGAGAAATGTTTACACTTTCATTCATCTCTACATTGGAAAGAATTTTTCGCTTTTACTTTGAATAATTTTTGACGTGCTTATGTTCGTCCAAATTTAATTTATGAGCCACTAAAAAGCCGACTCATATCTCTTAAAAAGAAGTCTTACAACAATTTTGAATTTATATTCAAAAAGAACACAATATGTTTTCGAATTTCTGCAGGATCCTTGGAGATACTAAAAAATTGAATGAAGATTTTGTTAAATTACTCTTTGATCACATATTATTAAAAATGTGATATTAAATAAATTGTTTTTTATTAAAGCGAACTCAAACGAGGTAAATTATAAAATATTAAGAACATTATATTAGTTGATTTTATTTGTTATTTGAAAAGAGAAAACTTAATAACTATAAACTCGTTGTAAGATGAACAAATGGAATATTTAATTTAAATTAGAATGAATTTTTATTTAACCCCAATATTGAAGTAATTGATTTTTTCATACAATAGTCAATATATAGGTGATTGAGCAAATCATTACTCAAGAACATATCACCCCGGAGGGGTTTTGAAGGGTAGGTGTTCGGTGAATAAAAATAGCATATTCGGATTCAGCGTGATCAATTACCTATATCCCCGTTGAGATCTCGAGAGGGTACCTCTGACCGTAAGCTAAAAAAATTTTGACAAAATTCAATGGAAAAACAAGGTACAGAACAGAAAAAAATCACCGCTTCGCACTGGATTCGAACCAGCTTCGCGTCACACACGCTCTTTAGCCACTCAGCTATATGCGAACTGTTCTTATTCTATTCTCTCTTGTACATCGTTCTTAATTTTTTTATTTAATCTTAATTGTATTGTTTTATTCACCGAACACCTACCCTTCAAAACCCCTCCGGGGTGATATGTTATTGTCCAAATTTTTATCAAATATTGATAATCATTAAGTAATTTAGCCATAATATCTTAAAAACGTATAATTACATAAATTATATTTTAAAAAAAAAGAAAACGTGAATTTACTTAGTTGATCTGTTCGATCAATATCTTGAATTATTTTGCGTTGATGTACCGTCAACGCTACTCGACGTAAAATTTTTAATTTTAACAGCAGCAAGGGAAAATATAATACACAATATTGGAAAGAAAGACTACCATTTTGACAGAATTTACTTTTGCAGTTTTTCTACAAAATTAAATTCTGTATAGACTAACTTTATGTTGGAAAACACTGATATTGTGCAATTACATTTTTAGCACTATTATATAGTGACGATAACATAACCATACAAATGTTTTTTCGTTCTTCATATAGTATACTTATAGGCTGTTTATAACATGCAAACTAATGTATCTTACTATACGATGACGTAATTCTACATTCGTTCTGTTGTTTTTTCCATCTATATCAATATAGCTGGAAAATTTTGTCAAAATGGTAGTCTTTCCTTTTAATTTTGTGCATTATATTTTCTCTTGCTGCTGTTAAAATAAAAAATATTGTTTAATTTGAAATTCGCTCATTCAGCTACTCGACATAATGTACGTACTTCATATCATTGATCACTAGTGTTCGATGAGTCTTCATCGCTATCTTCAGCAATTGATTTTTTTCTTTGGTTTTTTACGTGCAGTTTTAACATTTGAATCTTATGCATAATTTAAGAAATGATACATTCCATAACCCATCATTAATATGTCATTAAATGATAAAATAAGATTTTTAATAATAAACATCGAACTAGTAGAGCAAAGAAATTGAAGACGATCTTTTTCTTTTTTGTATATCATCAGCATTAAATAAATAAACATTAATATGTGACTGAAGATCACATATCCATTGTCAACATTCGCTTTTCCAACTGAAATATATCATTTAATCAAAAATTGAAAAACTTTATTCATACACACTTATTTTCAGTATTTAATTATATATTAATATTGTAGTTGTAGATGGTTTTTTTTATCAATACTAGTTGAAATCTGTATCGTTGATGCAGATACTTGATTTCAAAGAAGTCGAACACCTTCAACTGTTCAAATTCAAAACAAATATTATTAATACGTTGAATTTGTTATGTCTTGATGTTGTTTCAAATATTGAGCAAGTATTAAATCAACCTCAATAGCAATATCATTTGTATTTGGATCTATTTCAAGTACTAATTCAAATTTAACTGAAAATTGGTTTTGTTCAGCAAGCAAATATCGATTATTTTCTTTGCGTTTTCGAATACGAGCTAGTTCTTCACGTTCAGTTTGTTTTTTCATAGCTTCTTTTTGTTTGAATATTAAATTTATCTTCAGTTATTTCAGCTAGGAAAAAAATGAAGGAAAAAGTATATTTTATAAGAATGTTCATCTTACGTCGATGTACAACCTTCGTTTTCACTATCATCATCATCATTAATAATAGCTATATCATTGGAATCAGATGAAATTATTATTTGAGGTTTCTTTTTTCGTTATGGACGTTTTGGTGAAGCAATAAAGTCATCGTCAGTATTTCCTAAAAAAGGAACGAAAAGCTGTAATTCAATAAGAATTAATATTCACCGTTTATTCGATTATAGAATCATCAATCGAATTAAGAGATGATGAATGTTTTGAGGTCGTTCCCAAAAAGAGTGATGACATAATAAAAACGGAAGAATTAAAAGGGTATACAGAGTTTTTTTATATAAAATCATGATGAATTAATTTGAAATGAAGATGAATCAATGCATAAATAGATCGTCTGATAAAAGAATACCGACCAGGTCTCGAAATAGGGCCACTTTTTGATGGTCCGGCTCGGTGTGTGCCGGACCAAGACGACCCCATGCCCACCCGGCCCAACTTAGAGTAGCACTATTAAAAGTATATTTCTTTTACAAAAAACTTTTCTAATCTATTGAATTCCACAAGCACTACAGTCATTAATGAGAACATTGTAAAAATTCCTTTGACACGGTGATTACAAGTTGAGTAAGGTCGAGCAATGTTAATATTTTAAAGAAGAGCATGGAAGTCAAGTCAAATTGCATATTGAACCAAAAGACTAAGATATATTCGTAGATACTCGAACTTCTTGGAGATTATCGTTTATTAACACAAGATTTCACAAAAATTAGCTCGCTGATGGATGTCAAGGGATGAACTCATTTGATAACTTTAGTTAAGCTGCTAATTTTAGTACATGGTTAACCCTGTTCCCCTTCAGTGGAACCCATGCTACTTAATGCTTTTAATAGTGTGCTCAGCCTTATGTGGAGATGAAAAATGTAATTAAACCGAAAAGATTCTGTTTTTATTTATGGGTACATTATAATTGATCAGTAAAATAAATGAAATGATCAGTATAAATATTAAATGCTCAGTACTAAAATGATCAGTTTATTATGCATAATTAAGAGTAAAAAAAAGATAAACTTGATCAGTAAAAAATACAAGTTTGATCAGTAAAAAATACAAATTTGATCAGTAGAAAAATAAGTTTTGCTCGTATAAATTATAACTTAGTATAAGAAAAATAAAGTTGAATAAATAAGAAAAACACAAAATAAATAAGAAGAAATCCAAAAGAACATTTAATAGAGTTTAAAGAATGAATAAAAACGAGAAACAAAAACTAAGTTATTGTACTAGCAAAGCAGGTTTAGCCTTTGCTGGTCTACCTCTTTTTCTTTTCTCACCGATTGGCACTGGCTTTGCTGCTGCTGGTGACTTACAATATTTCAAACGAATAGCCATACCGACAGTGTGTTTGCATATATAGTTCTTTAAAAAGGCTAGACAGTTGCATTTTGATGTTTTCCAATCCGAATCATTTTCCATTTCCATACACCAAATATCAAATGAATTTTGGAATTGATTAAAAGTTGCCCATTTTTTATTTTCATACTTATCTAAATTCGCTTGTGTAGTGGATTGTAAATCACGAGCTGGTATATAATATTTTTTCAAGGAAACATTTGGAATATAAATTATATCTTTTGTTGATTTAGCCCATTGATATGATGAAGTCCATAATTTTAAAGATATTGTTGGTTATGTACCAAACAATTTTGCATTAATTGAGGAAGTATCTCGTTCAATTGACCAATTATTGACAATATTTGAAGCTATCGTTAAAAATCTTGATAAAGCGTGACGTTCTCTAAACCTTCCATCATCTTTAATTGTTTTATTGGTTGCCTCTAAGGCATTGTTTGTACTTGGTACATAAAGTTGCAAACCTTCATACTAACCAACATTTGATTTAAGCCATTCATTATCAAAATAATTCAAAAAATCTAAGATTGATTGATTTGTTTGTTTGTTTGTTGTTCATTTTCCATTTCTTCATAAATAATGTTAATGCTAGTTTAAATACAATTGTAGAATTGCATAATTGAAGCATCTCATTATCTTCTATTATTACTTTTGCGATATCTTTATCATTTATATGATATATACGATTTTCAACAATCCTTTTCATATGTGCCCAACACATTGTTTGATTATAAGAATTGCCAAAAACATTTTTAAAACCATTTTTAATCGAATCAGCGGCATCACATATCAACGCAGTTGGTTTTAATAAATCTTTATTTATTTTTTTCAATCCAATTTGAATACAATTAAAGATAAATTCAAAATCTTTCGTTTTTTCATCTGAACATATTGCTAAGCCAAACGAATGAAATGCTTTGTTTAAATCAGTTGTACTAACGATTAGGACAGGAAAACCTTGCCATACTAATTTATATGTAGCATCAGAACATACATGTGATGACATAGATATACTGTTGAGCAAACGTATAGATGATATAAATATACGAAATTGATTGCCATCATTTTCTTCTACATCTTCACATTCTTCATTATCATATAATATTTTGTAAGATACAACAAAGCTTCGTTTTCATCAGTTGGTATATTTAGATTATTTTTACACCATTGTTCTTACTCATCTAAGCTAATTTTATGTGAACCATATTTTTTTTTTATAATATACAAGATAATTGTTCAGTTGTGTATACGCTGGCATCTTTACTTTTCTTGCTTGAAGTGCTGGAATAGTTTGTTTTGGCTTCATTATACCATCATTATATAATTCTTCTATGCACTTTTTAACATTTTTATCAATACCACGAACTTTTTCAACATGATGATCATGCTCAGCTTCAGTTTTATACATGGTAAATTTATCATTTTCTGCATGATATAGAGATAAATACTTAGACTGCATTGAGAGATCCACGAGGTTTGGCTTTGTTGCATCTATAATAAACCATTCTTCCATTTTCTGTATGCTTTGTGTAGTACTTTGAACATGTATCTTTAACACATTCGAGGCGATTCAGTTTTCACACAGAAATTGATCAAGATACTCGTCTCCACGTAGAATAAACTTTTAGTAAATGCACTCACTGACCTTTTCTTTCTATTCTATCGATTTTT